TGCTGAAGCGGAGCAGAGCGCACGAGCGGAGTGGAGCGGAAGGATCTTTTTAATCGGTGGAGTTTTATTATGTGTGTTGAGGGTGCGGGGGCAACACCCCACGGTTTGGTACAATGAATAATTTAGGGCATGTTTGGGGCAGCTTATTTGGTGCGGTGGCGTTTTGAAAACGCACATGGCCTGTTTTGGTAAACTGCGTTTTGAAACCTTATGTGTTTTCAAAACGCTGTTCGGTTGCAGTTTTCTCACAACGGTCTAACTTTTTCAAAAAAATAAAAATTTGTAATAGCCACTGTACCTAACTTATCAGCATATTATTTTTAGTCAGTTTATCAGCAAATTATTCAATAAGCTGCAACTGTCCCAAATAGACCATTAATTAATTACATATTGTATTATAGGGTTATATATATGTCGTGTCTGGAACCCTAGGCGGATTGAATCTTGTATTTCGTATTCTTTTTTGAATATTGAAAAGAAATTCGCCGTTTTGCTCCTGAGGATATAGGTATCTTTGTCGAACCTAGTAAATCTCTATGTTTATTTGAATTTGTGTCGATTCCTTTTTTTTCTTCGCCCGAGTTTTGGAGAGCACTTATTGTTAATTTTATGAATTTAAAGATGTGGTTCTCTCTTTCATGCTCTTCGGTCTACTGTTCAAGGACTAGTCTCACCCTCTTCTCTCTCCCACATGTTGTCCATTCATTGTTTCCTGCTGGATAGGTGTCAAGGGCAAAGTTACTTCCTATTGGCAGCATAAATCTGCACTTCTCTGCTCCCAGTTAACTGTCCCAACCGCGGTTTGTGCAGATTATTAGCTTCCTTTCGTCTGCACTTCTCTGGCAATCTTTTCAACACCTATTGTGCTTTATCATGCCGTCTAGCAGCTCTAGAACGGTGTCACTAAAAAAGATTTTTTCAATAAAGCTAAAAAGAATGGACCTGAGAGCTCTATGATATTTTCTGAGAATAGAGATGGTTCGTTCTAAGAAGGTAATTGTCATGTCCCAAAGAACATGTATCTAAGGCATATTGAGTAAAACTAGTGTGCTTGAGTGTA